GAGAAACATGGCATGTACTCTCTCATATATGGATTTTAGACATAGACCTGGGGAGTGCCAGCCTACAATCCCATGGCCAAAGAGTCTGGGAAACAGAAACTTCATTCAGTGGCTGATGGAAGAAGAGGCAGACTCCCTCGGTTAAGTACTGAGCTGAACTCAAGAAAGCCAGTAACAGAGAGGGAGGACTGATGACCAAAGGGATTAAGACTGGGTTGGTTTAACCTGACAAGGGTTAACTCTTGAATCCCAGGCATCAGCCTGCGAATCCAGCATGGGACTGATCAAGACCCCCTGAATGTGGGTGTCAGTGAGGAGGCCTAGGTAATCTATTGAGCCTTGGGCAGCAGATCAGTACTCATCCCGAGTATACACACGGACTTTGGACTTCCATCCAACAATGTGAGATGCACTCTCACCCTGAACTCTTGGGGGAGGGTCTAGGCCCTGCCCTGCATGAAATGACAGACTATGGACACCCCCATGGAGGGCCTCACCCTCCCTGGGGAAATGAGGGTTATGTTAATGGGGGGGTTGGGGGGAGGGCACGGGAGTAGGGGAGGGAAAGGGAGAGGGACCTGGAACTGACTTGTGAAGCATCCTTTTCTTATCTAAATTTAAACTGAAAAATAAAAAAAAAGAAGATCAAGGTTCCAGGGTGACCCTCAGCCCCCTAAGACTGGAGACCGTATGAGGACCCTGCACAAGTAGAGAGGAGCCATGTAATCACAGAGTCGGAGACCCGAAGGGAGCATCTAGACGTCAGGGGGCACCAGCAGTGGCAGGGGACACCCTGATATTCAACTGGCAGGGGGCTGACCTCTTTCCAGGCTTTCAGTAATCAGGACAGGTGGACACCTTGTGTGGACCTCTGGCCTTGGAGCTGCAGGAGAAGAAACTCTAGTTTTAACTGGCTTTCTGCCCAATTGTTCATTTAAAGACTTGCTTAAACACTGCATACAGATAATGTTTGGTACATCTGAGAAGATGGGGGATTCCCTGAGGCTGATTCTAGAAGGATCCATTGCCCCCCCACCCTTCTGGGGGCTCTACTCCTTTGTTTGTGGAGGAGGTGGCTGTGCCCTCAGGCTATCTGTTTCTTCCCAGACTGCACAATGGGAAAACCAGAATCACCCGTTGGACTGCAGCTGGCCCCTGTGCCAGGCACATTCTACAGGAGGGACTCTCAGATTTGGAGCAAGTTCTTAGCTTAAGTATTTTAAGCTACGGCATCAGCATTGTGTTCGGAATTTTCCAGAGACACACATCTTATTATGGTCTAAGACTGGCCACAGAGCTAAGGACTTGGGAGGGCATCCTGCTGGCTGGGTGTGTACTCCAGGCCTCAGTCTTGATGGATACTGTAAGTTCTACTGTGATGTGGGTACCGGGGTGGGACTGGGGGACCCCAGAAGGACCCTAGGGTCAAGAAAAATTGACCAATACCAGCCATACACTAGCCACTTCGGAGACAGTCCAAGATATAAGCATGGCTGAGTTCTTATACATGCTTGATCCAAAGTGCATGGGAAGGTGTGGTCCCGTCACAAACCCTGTGGGCATGAGTGGCAGCTTGGCACACAGCAGGGTCCCTCCTCTAGCCCACAAAGGCCCCAGCAGCATCCCATTTCCTGAACTGCACTGGCTTCCCCTAGAGTAGATGTACACGGGTCCCAGGTTGTTTCTCAGAATTCAGTCTCTGAAGTTCCTAAGTGTCACCAACACAACATGCTCTGGGCCTAGAAAGTCACTATGGTGGCCCAGGTTTGAAGGGGAAGGAAAGCAGATGCGGGCTCCTGAGGGAAAGAACTGGTAGTAGCCATCTTTGAGTGCAAGAATCTGGGTTAAATCCTAGAGACCTGTGACTGACACCCCCCCTTCTCTAGTCCTGGAGTCTTGGTGGCCCTGCCCATCTGGTCTCCTCTGGCTACAGAGTGATGGATGTCCTGCACGTCCACAATCTCCAAAGCTTCCAGGATCCAGGGGTTGTAAGGGACTGTGTGGAGTATTCTCAAGGTGTCAGTTAGGGTGGCCAAGTGCCCCAGGGGCTCTATCGTAAACCTTTGAGGCTGAGCCTCTCCTATGCTCTGTCTCAGCCTCTTATAAAGCATGCAGGGCAGATCCCTGCATCAGGGGAACACGTCTACACTGCAGAGCTGATGGGTGTCATCTCAACACTTATTTTTTTGCAGCCCCAAACCCTTCCAAAGGTTCACATGCTGTGAATCATGTAAAATGCTGACAGGAATCCTACTTAGCATTGGCAGGACTTGGAGGCAGGAAGCTCAGGTCTGGAGTGGGTAGAGCATACTCCTGACCCCACCCATTCCTCCAGCTGCCATTCTTCACAGGGGAAGAGGGTTTCTTTCCCCAGGCATACATGCTGAAGAACCCACAATAGCTCCCAGTGCTCTCTGACTCAACTCAGATGTCTCATCTGTCAGTCAGCACCTTCCAAGCCTGGTCCTGACCTCTCACTCTCAGAGGTTCTGTGTCTCCTGTCCTCTAGCTCTCTGAAGGGCTCTGCCTATGTCCCAGGCCTCAGCACCTCCTTGCTTTCTGGAGAAGTCTCATTCTCAGGCTTGTTCGGGACCATCTATCTGCCTGCCGTCCTGACACGTCTGCTGCCTCCTTCTCAAAGTCCTGGTGTTGGTATACACATTTGACATCTTGCGTTTCACTTTCTGTTCATCTGAGTGTCTTCTTCATGAGGACACAGCTCATGTCACCCTCATCCAATCATCTAACAGGTACTTGTTGAAGGCCTACGGTGTGTCGGTTCAGTGCTGGGCCCAGCACTGGATCTATTTCTATTGCTGGGTCCTGGTCTGACCAATACACTGTAAGCACCCAGAGGAAGGTCCCGTCCAACTCTGTCCCTCAGCATGCCCGTCCTAGTGCTTGACAGGGTCCATGGCCTCGTGCCAAAGAAGTAAGCAGAGGGCCAGCATTTCTCTGAAGGTGCTCAATGTCAGACAAGAGGAAGCAGGGACACACGGACACACACACACACACACACACACACACACACAATGTACAGAGGCTGATTTTAAAAAGTAGCAATTCTCATCCTATGTTGACAGTGAGACAGATGTATAGCAGGAAGCAGGACTGACCACAGCTAAGGCTGTACTGAGCAGGAGGCACCATGGTGTCAGCACTCCAGAGGAAGGGGACTGGACGGATGGGCCATCTTGGAATGTGTTCCTAGGGTGAAGCCACACGGGGAAACCCCAGTATCTCTGCAGAGCCTAGGGTCTGGTTCAAAACCAGCTCCCTCCCTCACGAACTGCATGCCCTTGGGTAAATTGTTCCTGACATCTGGCATGCTGACCTATAGAACTCCAGGCTAATAGGACTTGTAAGAATCCACACACAGTAGGTCCTCAACAAACCTTAGTGTGTCTTCCATTGGTGTGCCCAGTCACATTTCTGTTTCTTTCGGCCAGCATGGTGCTGAGCACATAATCAATGCCATCTTTTGGCAGGAACAAACTGGCCAAGTGAAATGTGAATTATAAAAACAAAAACAAAAGCAGAAACCCTACTGCCAACACCACAAATAACAAAAACAATAAACCAAACAACAACAACAAAAACCCAAGACCTCTGCAGGCTCTGCCCACAGATGCAGAAAAGCCCTGTTTGTTTTATCAAGTCACCATAGCAACGATGGATGCTCTAGCCAGCTCTGGGGTTAGTTAGTAATGATCAATTTATCTTGTTACCATGGAAACACCAGCTTCTGTGGGATGCTGAGAGGATGGCAGCCACAGACATCCTGCACTTGCCTCCTCACTGCACTTACGGTGCAGCTAAACACACTTCCATCTGCAACGGGAGTGACTGTTTTCCTCACCATACAGTACTTATGTACAGGTAAACTTGAGACGGATCATCAGCGAAGAAGGGCAGCTTGTGGGAATTGCTAGGGTTATGGCTCCCCTGCTTAAGACCTCGCCCAACCCTGGATCCTGAGGTCCCAGAGCCAACCTGGGTACTTTGTGTCCTTTGATGCTCCCATTTGGGAACAACCCTCTATATCCAGTCTGGCTTTTGAAGTTACATTTTAAACAGACTTCCACCACACGGGTGAAGTTTGGAGAATGGAAAGTGTCCCTTCAAACATCACTCCTGAAGACAAGCAGCAGGGACTGGGGCCTGGACACACCCCCAGGAGACAATCAGGGTTGGCTTCTCTGCCACAGAAGGTGAAATGTCTGTCTTGTGGGTTGGGACTTGTGTCCAGCCAAATGCAACCTCACCGTGGTCACCTCTGAGTCTTTTCAAGGAACACACACGAGCCCAGAAAAGGGTCTGTGTCTTTGTTCTGGTTCAAAAGAATCAACACTTAAGATCACATCTCCAAGGCACTCTCCTGCCACGGAGACCAGACAGTGCGCACAGAGAGGTCATTTGTAGGTCTGCCATGAAGAGCTTGTTTTGTGTGGAGGGAAGGGTGGTGGGTTCCTGCTCAAACCCAGCACAAAGCAAAACTGGATTAAACCATCCATCTCTGTCACAAAGCTCTGTCACTGCCTTCCTAATCGGCAGGGGCTAAAGTCCTACCCACAGTGGAGGGAAACGGTGTTGCCCCGAGGACACCAACAAGTGACAGAGTGTCAGCGCCAGCAAAACCAGAGTGGGGAGGGCAGCTCCTCTCCAACCTCTCCTCTGCCAGTCCCGGGGCTCCAGCACACACAATGTGTGGGGGCTGGGCTGGGAGGGGCAACTCCAGCTGCCCAGGGTTCTCAGACTGTCTTGTTCAGAAGTGGGGCGCTCAACGGAGGCAGCTCCGCTCCACCTTCGGTGTGCGAGGGACACGGCCACTCCACCCACGACAGTCAAGCTGCCGGCCCTGGGTACGCGCACCAGGTGGGACTGCCGGGCTCGGGACAAAGGACCTGGCCACGGACGCTAGAGCTGCACCGGGGAGCACAGCAAGGCTGGGGTTCTGCAAACTTGGCGACCCAGGGACCGTGGAAAAGATTCCGGGTTACCTGCGCGGCCATAAAAGACAGATCCATGGTGTCGCTGCTGGCGTGGCTGCTGCTGCTGTTGCGGTCCGCGCTCCAGTCCTCGCTGCCGCTGCTGCTGTCGTCGCCTTCGCCGCTGCGGGTCCAGTCACCCTCACAGCTATCCCGGAGCGGGCACAACAGGGAGTCCTCAGGCCCCGGCGACCGTGACCTCAGCAGCCCCGGCGTGGCGGCGCGTTTGCAGCCCTTGCGGCGTCCTCGCTGACTCCGGGCTACCGCTCCAGACGTCGAGTGGGAGGGAGACCCCGGGCGCTGCGCCCCTTCACGTGACCACTCCCAGCCCCACCCCCGGGGGCGGGCCGAGCAGGACCCCTCATTTCTAGCCATCCTCTCTCTGCCTTGGCCGAGTGGGGAGACTGAGGCCTGAGGTGGGGCAGCTGGGCTGGTGAGCCAGCCTCCAACCCAAATCCAGTCTGGTGGGCGCCCTTCCCAGGGCACCTGACTCCAGCCTTCCTGGGGTTGGCTGAGTTACGGGGTTGATATACCTGGCTTTCAGTGGCAACCCTGTGCCCAGACTCCTGAGTGCTTGGCTCTTGAGCTAGGCAGAACAAAGTGGAAAGTCTAGCTTTTCTGTATTGTGTGGCTTGGGTAAATGAGTGTTTGTTTGAGGCCGGGTATCCTCATTTGTAAAAGGGGAGTTACAGAACCTAGGAATTAAATAAGACATGGCATCTGTCACCACAGGGTGAGCTGCAGAGTCTCTTAGTGGAGAGCATGGAGTGAATGTCCTTCCAGGATGACATACACAACTTGCAGACAGTGCCCGTGGCTCTGTTAAGATGTCTTACCTCAGAAAGGTAACTCAGGTGTCATAGCTGCATGCAGGGAGTCACAGAGATGCCCAGCGGCTTCTCTGGGGTGTGTGTCCATCCTTCCATCCTCTTTCTCTCCTCCCTCCTTTCTTTCTCTCTTCCCACCTCCCACCCTTTTCTTCCGGTTTGCTCCCTCTCTTGCATCCTGGGTCTCTTCCTCGTTTCCCCACCCGTCATTTCTGCCCCCTTCCAGTCTGTACTGGCTGGCTTTGTGTGTCAACTTGACACAGACTAGAGCCACCGGAGAGAAAGGAGCCTCAACTGAGGAAACCCCTCCACGAGATTCAGCTGTAAGGCATGTTCTTAACTAGTGATCCATGCCAGAGGGCCCAACCCATTGTAGGTGGTGCCATCCCTGGGCTACTAGTCCTGGGTTCCATAAGAAAGCAGGCTGAGCAAGCTATGGGGAGCAAGTCAGTTAGCCTCTCCCCTCCATGGCCTCTGCATCAGCTCCTGCCTCTGAGATCCTGCCCTATGTGAGTCCCTGTCCTGACTTCCTTCAGTGACTGACAGCAATGCTGACGTGTAAAGCCGAATAAACAGTTTCCTCCCCAACTTGTTTTTTGGTCATGGTGCTTCACAATAGAAACCCTAACTGAGACACAGTCCAAGTACCTACCTCGAGTCTCAATGCCCAGAACCACCCAACTGGGTCCCATCCCTCTATGGCAATGGTTCTCAACCTCCCTAATGCTGCCACCCTTTAATACTGTCCCTCATGTCATTGTGACCCCCAGCCCCTACCATGAAGCTATTTTTATTGATACTTCACAACTGTAATTTTGCAACTGTTACGAGTCATAATGTAAACATCTTATATTCAGGATATCTGAAATGTGACCCCTGTGAAAAGGTCATTTGACCCCCAAAGGGGTCTCTACCCAGAGGTTGAGAGCCACTGCTGTGTGGCCTGGCAGTTCCTCAGCCTGTCTAGAACCTTCATCACCTCTCTGCACTTTCACCATGAAGTCCTATACTTGCAGAGGTGTGTGTATGTGTGTGTGTGTATGTGTGTGCGCGTGTGCACATGTGCGTGAGTGCATGCATGCATATGCACATATGTGTGAGGTACAATTTAAAAAATGATACCCCTTGCAGTCTAACAAAAAGGATAAATGGAGCTGGAGAGATGGCCTGTCCATTAAAGACTCAGGCTGACAATTCAAAAGAAGAAGCAATGTACTTTAAACCCCCAGGGGCGTCTCTCCAAAGCTCTTTCTTGCCTGCCCCGCTGTGTGCCAGCCTCCTGTAATGGAAATGCTCGCCATCATTGTTCTCTTCTTACAGCCCCACACTTACCTGCTTCAAATCTGCGTGGAGACGTAGAATCCCTCTGAGGTGCCTTCTCCCCATTTCAGTCAGCGCCGTGTCTGTGTCGATGGTGATGGATGCTACCACCCGTCTGCTGGTGTTTACATGATACCCAGGTTTTCTCCTAAAGTGAACAACGCTTTGACCACTGCCTGTCCCCTCCCCAGGAATCTGTTCTCCATGTCTGCAATTACATCATTTCAGGAAGGTTCTATAAATGGAAGCATGACCAGTAACCCTCTGGGGTCAGTGTCAATCAACCTGGTTACCAGGAGATCCATCCAGGTTGTCGTGGTAGCAGCAGTTTCTTCCTTTTTATTGCTGGGTAGTGTTTTATTTTATTGATGTGCCACAGTTAGTTTAACCACACGTCTGACAGAGGGCATCTGAGGTGTCTATGTTCTTTGGTGCTTATGGAAACAGCTGCTATGCACACGCATGTCTCAGGGGTCATATGAACATGTCATTCACCCATTCCCATGGTGGTGGTCCTGGAGCATTGCTACTTCTACAGGATGTTCCACAGAGCATGCTCAGTGACTCCTTAGCCTGCAGGTCTGACTTCTCCTGACCGTGTTCTGGAGGAGGAGAGGGCTGGATGGAGTAAGCCAGTTGTTTTTATTTCTGGTTTGCAAATCCATGGCTCTCTGAGTACCCTGTGGTCAGTGCCTAAGTCAAGCTGTGTCCTTGGACGAGGCTCATCTGCCCTCCTTGTCCTTGGGCGGTGGGCCTTTTACCTCTGAAAGAAGAGGCAGTGGTGGCCAGTGAATGTGGAGTTCATTTCCAGTGTTCATCGCGTCTCAGTGGTAAGCACTAGTTTGTCACACAGTAAAGGAGGAAAAGGGTAACTTCCTGTGACACTCGAGGAGCCCACTGCAGGTAGTTCTGGTCACCCAAATGAACCACTTTTACATATTCAGGTTGGCAAGTCTCAACAACCCATAGAATTTTTTCTTCTTTTCATGCCATGTGTATCAACGGCTAAACATGACTCAGTAAGCTGTTGCTGATTCAAACTTCGGGAGTCTGACCCCCCAGTAGTTTATTTTAGGCGTATTTAAATATAGTACAGTTTGGTGAAAACTTTCCTGGCGATAATTAACTCAGCCTCATGTGCACAATAAAGCACACAGAACAAAACAAGCTAAATAAAGCTCAGACGTGATGACATCAAGACTCTTTGTAAAGTACATGTGGTGCCTTCCTTAAAGATGGGCTCTATAGATTAAAAAAACCCAACCTGCTGGGAGGGATCCAGTGTCGTCTCCCACCACAAAGATAGCACAATTAACCACGCTTACTCCCAGCCTTCTGGGTGGATAACAGGTTATATATCCTTCCCTGTAAAGGACAACACCGTGTTTAACAGCCCGGCTTCCCCCAGTGCCCATCTGTGAGCACGAGGACCTCTCTGCCTCCTACAGTGTCTTTGCTGAGTCTCCAGAAATAGTTTTGGGGGAGAATTATGCAGGAACTGGACATCAGCTTCAGTTTTCTCTCTCCCTCACCTGATTCTCAGTCCATGTCTGGATGAGGGCCACCCAGGAACCTTCTTTCTCTACCAGGAGAATCCCAGCTGGTGTGCCATCATCTCTGGGGTTCCTTCTGCCGTGGACCTTTCTCTAAGTGGTTCAGGTTTTATTTCAAAAGCCACGTTTTCATGGCAGGAGAGACAGCCCATGAAAGAGTACACACTGCTTTTACAGAGGACCCATGTTCCGTTCCCAACACCTGCATTTGGGTGGCTCACAACCACTTGTGACCCCAGCTCCAGGGAATCTAGAGCTCTCTTTTAGCCTCCTTAGACACCTGCACTCACATGCAATTCCCCTACCCCCACACTCACACACACACACACACACACACACACACACACACACACACACACACAATTAAACGTTTAAAAATAAAACCTCACCCACTTCTAATTGGAGGCCCTCCAGGACCATGGTGGCTTGTGTCTGTCTTACCAATTTATTTTATTTGTCCATAAAATTTCTTTGTCTTCGAGACAGACTCTCCTGTTGGAAGAGGTGGCATGCCTGGGGTCTTGAGTGCTCCCGAGTTTTCCCAGGGGCTGACAAGAACACAATGCCCTGGTGAGCTCTCTCCTGGGCTGTTTAGCAGAGCTGTGCTTCAGTGTATAATCTAGACTGAGCGAGGCCATCTTCCTTTCTGGACATGAGAAGGTCTTTCTCTTTTTTTTCTCCCCCCGAACAGTTAGTAAATCCATGGGGCTGTACATTGCTCCTCTATAACACAGCCTACTGTGTCTAACCATGGGTCATGGGCCTGGTGTCACTCCTGCCTCTGGGACTTGCAGATACGGGGATGATGAGTATCATCACACAGAAGATGGCATTGGCTGGTGTCTTGGGAGCTACTGGCAGCTGGTGGTGGCTTTTTCTCTCGCTTGTTCCTGGGGATCAGGTGAGGTTTAATCACTCCAGTATGAGGCCAACAACTCAGAGCTGATGAGGGCAAGGAGCCATAGGCCTACCACAAGCTCTGGGTCCTGGCCACTTGGTCTGGGGCTGAGCAAGAGATATGCCTCTGGTTCCAGGGAGAGTCGGGATGTGCTAGTGCCAAGCCCAGCCCTGTTTGCATAATTCATGTGTGCCGAGAACTCAGGCTGCAGAGACTGGGAACAGCGTGTCCCTTCAAAGGCTCCAGCCAGAGACCACAGCAGGGGCCTGACCTGACCACTGACTGACAGGGGCCTGCAGAGCCCTCCCCAGTGGAGGCGTGGCTGGTTTTTTTGGGAAGGGCTTTAAGAATTCATGAATGCTCCACTGAGTGACTTGATAAATTATCCAAGAAGCATAAAGAGTGGGGGGGGGGTATGGCCCAGGACCCATCCTTGCAACAGACGGACATGCAAGTGTGGAAGCGAGAAGGAGGAAACCCAGCCTGGCCCCCGCTCTCCCTCTCCTGCCAGCTCTCTCTCCAAGACACTTTGTTTAAAACCCTCACTGCAGGGTCTCTCGGTGTTTTTGTAAAGGAGACTCCGAGGTATCTAGTATGCGGACCAGGAGGGGACCTTGTTAAAACGCCTAGTGCTCTGGAACCAGACTCAGCACTCTGGACCCAGGTGATTCTCAAGGCTACCTCTCCCAGGCAAAAACTGCAGCCCAGGCTAGCTCCATTTAGCAGGAACTACCATGCTTGCACCACACATCAGTGCATTCAGACCACAGGAAATAGAGCGAGCAGTCAGCCTTGCTGAGGTCCTTCGGCACACGTGGGTAGTGCTGGCATTTGAATCCAGAGAAGATGACAACAAAGTCCTTGCCATCTTGCAATGGCTTCTGCAAATGGTCAAGAATGGAAGAAGGGATTCACTCTTCTGTTACTTCCTCGTTTCAACAGGGTAGTGAGATGGCCCAGTGGGTAAAGGTGCCTGCCACTAAGCCTGGTGACTTGAGCTTGATCCAGTTGATGGGTAGAAAGAACTGACTCCTGAAAGTTGCCTGCCCTCTGACCTCCACTTGCATGCCATGCCATATGTACACACATACATACACACACACACACATACACACACACACACTCAGTTCAGATTTTCTGAGCATTTGCTATGTTCCAAGTACTGTGTCCCCAGAAGGAGAAAGTGTGACCAAAGCTTTCAGTTTGAGGAGTGTCTCAGCTATTTTCTCCAGCTGTGACCTTGGCAATGTATAGAAGAGAGAGTTTATTGGGGCTTACAGTTCCACAGGGAGAGTCCATGACCGTCATGGTGGGGGAACATGGCAGAGGGCAGGAAGGCATGG